ATAGCAATTAAACATATGCACATCCAACATTGAAGCATAGAGACATTTAAAGCAAATATTATTAGATCTAAAGGAAGAAGTAGATTCCAAACTAATAATAGTTGGGGACTTCAACACTCCACTCTCAGCATTAAGCAGATCATAAAGACAGAAAATTAACAAAGAAACATTGGATTTAAACTGCACATTAGAACAAGTGAACCTAACATTTACAGAACATTTCATTCAATAGCTAAACAATAAACATTCCTGTGTTCAGCACATGGAACATTCTCCAGGATAGACCGTATGTTATGACACAAAACAAGTCTCAACATATTTATAAAGAATCAGAGTTATATCAAATATGTTCTCAGGCCACAATGGAATAAAAGTAGAACTCAATACCAGGAGGAAATTTGGAAACTACACAAATACATAAAAATTAAACAACATGCTTCTGAATGACCATTGAGTCAATAAAGGAATTAGGAGAAGTTTAAAAAAATTAAAACAAATGAAAATTTAAACACAGCATACCGCAACCTACGGGATACAGCAAAAGTACTGCTAAGAGAGAAGTTTATAGCAATAAATGCCTGCATCAAAGAAATAGAAAAATTTCAAATCTAACAAGGCACCTAAAGGAATTAGAAAAGCAAGAACAAACCAAACCCAAAGTTAGTAGAGGGAAAGAAATAATAAAGGTCGGAGTAGAACTAGAGAAAATAGAGTTTGAAAAAATAATACAAAGGATCATTGAAACCAAAAGTGTTTTTACAAAAAGATAAAGTCAATAAACCATTAGCTAGACTAACCAAGAAAAAAATGAGAAAAGATCCAAATAAACAAAATCAGAAATTAGAAAAAGACCTAAAAACTAGTTGCACAAAAACATGAAAGATTATCAGAGACTATTATGATCAACTATATACCAGCAAACTGAAAAATATAGAGGAAGTGGAGAAATTCCTGGATAAATGCAATCTACATAGATTGAACCAGAAAAAAATAGAATACCATAGAATACATGAACAGACCAACAATGAGTAATGAGACCTAATCACTAATAAAAAGTCTCCCAACAAAGAAAAGTCCAGAACTGGATGACTTTACTGCTGAATTATGCCAAACTTCCAAAGAAGAACTAACACTAATTATCTTCAAACTATTCAAAAAAATTGAAGAATAGGGAATTCTCCCTCATTCTACAAGGCCAGCATTACCCTCATACCAAAACCAGATAAGGATACAACAAAAAAGGAAAACTGTGGGTCAATATCCCTGATGAACATAGATGCAAAAATCCTCAAAAAAAAAAAAAAAAAAACTACCAAACTGAATCTAACAGCACATCAAAAAGATAATATGCCATGATCAAGTGGGATTTATCCCCAGGAAGCAAAGATGATTTAATATATGCATATCAATAAACATGATACATCAACAGAATGAAGAAAAAAAGCCATGTGATCATCTCAATCGGTGCAGAAAAAGCATTTGATAATATTCAAGATCCCTTCATGACAAAAACTCTCAAAAAGCTAGACATAGAAGGAACATATCTCAACATAATAAAGGCCAGCTATATATCACACACCCACATAATAATAAAAGCCACATATTACAAACCTGTAAGTATCACACAGAATGAGGAAAAGCTGAAAGCTTTCCCCCTAAGAACTGGAACTAGACAAGGATGCCCACTTTCACCTCTCCTATTCAACATAGTACTGAAAGTACTAACCAGAGCAATTAGGCAAGAAAAAGAAAAGGCATCCAAATCGGAAAACAGGAGTCAAATTGTCCCTCTTTGCAGATGATATGATCTTACATCTAGAAAACCTAAAGACTTCACAAAAAAGCTCTTAGATATGATAAATTCAGTACAGTCAAAGGATTATAAAATTAACATACAGGCCAGGTGCGGTGGTTCACACTTGTAATCCTAGCACTTTGGGAGGCTAAGGAGGGCGGATTGCCTGAGCTCAGGAGTTCAAGACAAGCCTGGACAACATGGTGAAACCCCGTCTCTACTAAAATATGAAAAGAAAAAATTAGCTGGGCTTGGTGGCAGGTGCCTGTAATCCCAAGGTTTACAGGGAGGGTACTTGGGAGGCTGAGGCAGGTTGCTTGAACCTGGGAAGCGGAGGTTGCAGTGAGCTGAGATCACTGCACTCCAGCCTGGGCAGCAGAGTGAGACTGTCTCAAAAAAAAAAATTTAAAAAATTAACATACAAAAATCAGTAGTGTTTTTATATACCACCAATAATAAACTCAGCAGGAAAGAAATCAAGAAGACAATCCCATTTACAATAGCTACAAAAAAACAAAAAACAAAAAAACCCACCTAGAAATAAATTTAACAAAGAAGGTAAAAGACCTCTACAAGCAAAACTACAAACACTGATGAAACTGAAGAGGACAAAAATAAATGGAAAGATATCCTATGCTCATGGGTTGGAAGAATTAATATCACTAAAATGATTATACTGCCCAAAGCAACCTATAGATTCAATGTAATCCTATCAAAATACCACGGTCATTTTCTCACAGAAATTGAAAAAACAATCCTAAAATCCATATGGAACCAAAAAAGAGCACAAATAGCCAAAGCAATCTCAAGCAAAAAGAACAAAGCTGGAGGCATAACATTACCTGATTTCAAAATGTTCTATAAAGTTACAGTAACCAAAACAACCTGTTACTGGCATAGGAACAGACACATAAACAATGGAACAGAATAGAGAACCCAGAAATAAATCCACACATTTACAGCCAACTGATTTTCAACAACGGCTCCAAGAACATACAATGGGGAAAGGACATCACATCTCTTCCCATATACAAAAATCAACTTAAGATAGATTTAATACTTAAACAGAGGACCTGAAACTATGAAACTATTAGAAGAAAACATAGAGAAAAGACTTTAGGACATTGGTTTAGGCAAAGACTTTATGGCTAAGACCTCAAAAGCACAGGCAACCAAACCAAAAATAGACAAATAGGACTATATTAGACTAAAAGGCTTCTGCACAGGAAGGGAAACAACAGAGTGAAGAAACAACGTGTTGAATGGGAGAAAGTATTTGCAAACAATCTGACAAGGGTGATATTCCAAAATATACAAGGAACTCAAACAACTCAGCAGTTAAAAAAAATTCCATTAAAAAGTGGGCAAAACTCATGAATAAACATTTCTGTAAAGAAGATTTATAAATGACTACCAGGAATACAAAAAAATGCTCAACATCACTAATCATCAGGGAAATGCAAGTCAAAACCACAATGAGCTACCATCTTACCCCAGTTAGAATGGTTATTACTAAAAAGCCAAATAATAACAGATGCTGGCAAGGACGCAGAGAAAAGGGAACCCTTACACACTGTTGATTTGATGGGAATGTAAATTAGTATAGGTACTATGGAAAATAGGATAGAGATTTCTCAAAACACCAAAAATAGAACACCCATATGATCCACCAATCCCCCTGCTGGGTATTTATCCAAAGGAAGAGAAATCAGTGTATCAAAGGATGCCTGCACACTCACATTTATTGCAACACTATTCACAATAGCAAAGATACAGAATCAACTTAAGTGTCCATCAATGGATGAATGGAAAAAGAAAATGCGAGCTGTGTACACAATAGAACACTATTTAGCCATAAAAATAATGAAATCATGTCATTTGCAGCAACACATATGGAACTGGAGGTCACTATGTAAAATGAAAGGCACAGAAAGACAAATATCACATGTTCTCACTCACGCAGGGGCTAAGAAAGTTGATCTCATGGAGGTGGAGAGAATAACGATAGCCAGAGACTGGGAAGGGTGTAAGTAGGGGAGGAGATGAATGAAGAGAGGTAGGTTAATGGGTACAAACATACAGTTAGAAGGAATAAGTTATAATGCTTAATAGCAGAGTAGGGTGACTACAGTTAACAACAATGTATTGTATATTTCAAAACAACTAGAAGAGAGGACTTGAAATGTTCCCAACACATACAAATGATAACTACTTAAGGTGATGGATCCCCTAAATACATGACTTGATCATTACACATTCTGTGCATATGACAAAATATCACATGTACCCCACAAATATGTACAAATATTATGTATCAATTTAAAAATAGAGAATGAGGTCAGGCGCAATGGCTCACACCTATTACGTAATCCCAGTGCTTTGGAAGGCCAAGGCAGGTGGGATTGCTTGAGGTCAGGAGTTTGAGACCAGCCTGGCCAACATGGTGAAACCCCATCTCTACTAAAAATACAAAAATTAGCGGGGCATGATGGCAGGTGCCTGTAGTCCCAGCTACTTGGGAGGCTGAGGCAGAAGAATTGCTTGAAGCCGGGAGGCCAGGGTTGCAGTGAGCCAAGATCCTGCCACTGCACTCCAGCTTGGGAGACAGAGCAAGACTCCATCTCAAAAACAAAAACAAAAACAAAAACAAACAAACAAAAACATTAGAGAATGAGATGTGTGCTTTAGAAGCCAGATCATTCCTGAGTTGGGGAGTGGTGGAAGGGCATGGGGAATGTGGTAGGCTGAGGCTGGCTCCCAAAGACATGCTGCATCCTAATCCCTGGATCCTATGAATGCTACTTTATTTGGAAAAAAAGCCTTTGCAGATATAATTAAGTTAAAATTATTGAGATGAGGTGATTATTCTGTATTTTCTGAGTGGACCCAAATGCAATCACATGTGTCCTAATAGAAAGGAGATAGAGGGAGAATAGACAGAAGAGAAGCTGTGACCAAGAGGCAGAGATTGAATTGTGTGGCCATAAGATAAGGAATGTTAATAGCCATCAGAAGCTTCTGGAAGAAGTACAGAATGGATTAGCCCCTTAGCTCTTCTGCAGGAAGTGTGGCCTTGCTGAGCACTTGATTTCGGACTTCTAGCCTCCAGAACTGTAAGTGAATAAATTTTTGTTGTTTTAATCCATTACATTTATGGTAATTTTTATAGCAGGCCAAGGAAACGAATATGGGAAGGTATACTCACTTCTAGCTCTTTTTCCTCTGCTGTTTCCAAGAATAAATCTGGGCGGAAGGGTTTCATTCCATTGGAATTTTCCACTCTGAAAATCTTCTCTGGTTGGGTGAGAAAATTTTAAATTACAAAGAAGAATACAGCATGAAGAAATGGAAGGAATTTCAACAGAAATCCAGTTGGTTCACTCCCCTGGATGGCTCTTAGCTCAGTGAGAGTGCTGCAGAGCCTAGACCAGCACTCAGTAGACAGGTGTTAATTCGATGAGGCACCCAGTGAAAAGGTCTCATCCCACTTATAACCAGAAGGTTACCTTAAGGGATAGGCTACTGGGTGGGGCACAGTGCCTCACACCTGTAATCCCAGCACTTTGGAGGCTGAGGTTGGGGGATCACTTCAGCTTAAGAGCTCAGTCTGGGCAACATGGTGAAACCCTGTCTCTACATAAAGTACGAAAGTTAGCCAGGCATAGCAGTGTGCACCTGTCGTCCCAGCTACTTGGAAGGCTGAGCCAGGAGGATTGCTTGAGCCTGGGAGGCAGAGGTTGCAGTGAGCCAAGATCATGCCACTGTACTTACTCCAGCCTGGGGGCAAGAGAGCAAGACACTGTCTAAAAAAAAAAAAAAAAATGCTACTGACCCTGTAAAACTCAGCTCAGGCACCACTGCCTTCAGTAGGCTTCTTCTGTTCATACTTTGACCCCACCCTCTCTACATCCCTTAGTCACCGTACTCCCCACCAACCAGTTAACAGTTAGCACGTAATAAATGCTCAGTAAGTGAGAATTGAATGAATGGAAGGAAGCATTTTCCCCTGAGAGGACACGTGGCCAAAAACTATAGATCTACTCTTAGTGAGAACTAAAATATGTATGTCAACCTGTTAGAGTGTTCTAGTTTAGATGTTAAGCAGGTACATTCTCTTATTGGAATCAAAAGGAAAGAGGAGAATCGTAAAGGAAGATTGTTAACAATCATACCGACAATAATAACACCTGGCAGTGTATGTTGTCTTACGCTTTTCAGGGCACTCTAATATTTAAGCTTCCTGATCCTCTTATAAAAATGTATAATGCCGATAATAAGTCATTAACTTTGCAGACGAAGGAACTGTGATGTGGTTACAAACAGATTAGGGTCTCAGTCAGCCTAGCAAGCAGGTTGGCTGACTCCCAGAGCGGGCACGTGGAGGGGTTTCGGTGTACCGTTCCGGTCTCGACAGCTCGAAGTGTAGAAGGTTTCTTTCCGTAGGATGATCTCCTGTGCGATGATCCCGTAGCTGTACACATCTCCTTTCTGAGAGACGCTGGCCTGGCGGAGGTGCTCTGGAGCTGTCCACAGCTCTGTAAATGCAGACATTGAGATTACAAAATTGAGCGGGGTGAGTGGCTCATAGGCCTCCAACCTACTACCTTTGCTCTCTAATTGCCTACACCGTCCACTCTAAATATGGGTGATCGCTTATGAGTGGCCTTGAATTGATGTGATTCCAAGGTTTTGAAAAATTTTGGCTAATACCGGTGATCAAAGAGAGAACACACACCTTTTAGACTAACTGTGAAATGTTAGGATTTGGGTGAGGTCATATGGCAGTATGTTATTTAAAACTGCTAGGATTACAGCCTTGAAAACTCTCAAGGTTTACCTGGAATGGGGTCTGATTGTGGTAAATGCTCAGTAAATATATGTTGAATGAATACAGTAGAATATGAGAGGTTGAAGAATTTAGTAGTTTATGGGACATATGGAATGAACCTATGAAATCCTTTAAAATACAAATTTTGGCCCAGCGCGGTAGCTCATGCCTGTAATCCCAGCACTTTGGGAGGCTGAGGCAGGCGGATCACAAGGTCAGGAGATTGAGACCAGCCTGGCCAATATGGTGAAACCC